TCTTAAAGGTGCCACAGGACCCTCTGTTGCTTTTTATAGATTCAGACTAACACGGCTACCCCTCTGATACATGGAAAAGCAAGTCGCCACTGACACCTTGAAGCTGGTCACCCCCAAATGTTACCATCCATAGCCAACCAATTTGGTGTAGGGAGATCTACTGTTGGGGCTATTATAATGCAGGTATGTGATGCCCTGAATAAGGTACTGTTCCACCAGGTTATAAAGCTTGGTAATGCTCAAGAGATTATTGATGACTTTGCATATATGGGGTTCCCACACTGTATTGGAGCAACTGATGAGACCCATGTGCCTATTATTTGTGTATCCCCCCCCACTCCAGGGCTCAGAATTTATAAATAAAAAGAGATATTCCTTCATAGTGTTCCAAGGGCTGGTTGACCATGGAGGCAGGTTTACAAACATAAATGCAGTCTGGAAGGGTCCACAATGATAGGACCTTTTGGAATTCAGCTTTATTTACCTTCATGAATAAAGGACTGTTTGCCCCCAGGATCACTATGGACATGAGACTACTCCAATTATCCTGGGAGACCTGGTTTATCCTCTGGTACCCTGGTTAATGAAGCTATTCACAGGCCGCTTGTACAGAAGGAAGAAACTGTTTATCACAGAGTCATAGACACATCAGTACATAGGCTCCAATTTCATGTGTGCTCCGGGGCTGGAGCACCCACAGAAAAAAATAGTGGGTGCTCAGCACCACTGGCAGCACCGCCAATCAGCTGCTCCCCCTATCCCTCAGCGCCTCCCACCCACCGCAGATCAGCTGTTTAGTGGCGTGCAGGAGGAGCAAGAGTGCTCGGGGAGGGGGCAGGAAGAGGCGGGTGGGGTGGGGGTTGGGGGAAGGGACAGAGTGGGGCCTGGGGCAGAGTGGGGGTCAAGCACCCCCTGGCCACTCATAAAGACAGTGCCTATGCCTCAGTAGTTACAGAATGGCAGTGGAGTGTGCATTTGCCCATCTGAAAGGACAGTGGTATTGTTTGTGGAGTAGGTTGGAAGCTGCAGAAAGGTGATAGCTCCATGTTGTATTTGCACAATATCTGTGAGAGTAAGGGAGAAAGCCTTAATGATGGGTGGGAGGCTGAGGTGGAGAGACTTGCTCAGAAGTTTGAACAGTCAACAAGGAATCCAATAGAAAATGGAAACAGGGCAATACTGCCAGGGATGCCTACTGTTCTTACTTTGAGTCTGAGGCCTGAAAATGTACAGCTGTACATCCAGCTGTTAACCCGCGGACAGGGTTGGGTGGGATGAATTGTGGGCAATGCAGTCTTGTTTATGGGCAATGAAAGTGGACCACTGTGGCAATCCTTATTTTACCTTGTGTCTGTGACTCAATATTTTTGTAAAACCCTAGTATTTAAAATGTAGGGATTTTCTATTTTAAAATGCATTGACAACTCTTTATGAATAGTTAACCATTTTTATTATTATACAATCTATTACATAGCAACCAGAAATAAACCTTTAATTAAAACAATAATTAAACCAAAATTCAAAATTACACAGTGCAGTGGAGGGCAGAACACAACACGGGCGGGGGGCATTCAAGTCACAGGTGAGTATATGCCTCAATTCTGTATCTTCTTGTTCTTGGGCCATCTGGTGTTGAGAGGTTGGCAGGAGGAATTCGGGGGAGATTGGGATAGTAATCCTCTCTACATCCCCTTTAGGCTGTCCTGATTCTTTATGACTTGACACTGAGGTGGTGACTAAGAGGCAGAGAATGGCCTTATTCAAAAAGGAAAAGGGCAGATCCACCAGGTACACTGTGAAGTTATTCACCAAGGGGGTCTGCCCCAGAAGTGTTGCAGGAGTGGAAGGGCATTGCAATCTATACTGGGGGAAATGACTGTGTAGCTATCCTTCATGTCTGGACTAAAACTGAGACACTTCTTAGTCTTAGATTCTGTTTTCTCTCTCCTGCAGACATGGCGAAAGTGCAGAGAAAAACAGATAGAGTTCTGCAATGATTGTGTGAAGTATTAATTATTGCCAGTCTTTCTCTATGTAAGCCTGTGAAAAGCCACTAAGAACTTTGCTGTCCCTAAGGCAAAGCTCTTTTCCTATAAAAATGTGTGCTACAGGACATTTATAACTGAGTGGGAGCTGTAGTCTTGCCATGTAATGTCCACATCTACCTCATGTAAAGTGAGAATACTAACCAAACTTCTTTTTCTGCAACCAGTCTCTCAATAAACTGTTGAATTTCACACAATTGAATGTTTTCATTATTTGCATCAGCTGCATTAGGTAGTTTGGGTACAGGCTGAGGTTGCACCATACTGCCAGCAGACATGTTGAGCTGGTGAATAGAACTAGGGGGAGGGAGGGATTTCGCAAGGAAGGATAGATGCCGGGAAGTGAAAATAGGTTAATAGTCTTGTGTCCTCCATGGCGTGGGCTTCAAATTGGTTGATGGTTGGGACTTTAGCATGACACTGAGTCTGAATGCCCAGCTGGAGCAGCTGCCATTTTGAAGAAGTGTATGGGGGAGATTGGGGGGAACAGGCAGCTTCGGCTTAGGGAGGCAGGGGGCTGGATAAACATCTGTCAAAGATGACTGCAGCCATGGGGCACCTGGAACAGAAGCTAGCACAGCACTATAGCATAACAAAATAATAATAATAATAAATTTTAGATATGAATACTTACATGCTCATGTTCCCTTGATTGGATCTACCTCCTCAGTACCATTTTGTATTTCTGGCTGGAAATTGGGCTCATTCTTGCATGGCAGGAATCAGCCTTGCTTTCTATCCAGCCATCGTCAGGGTCTTGAATCCCGAAAAGATCCTGGCTTTCTTGGGACAGTTCTTTACTGACCTCCTCGTGTTCATCCTCCAATGACTCTTGGTGCTTGTTCTAGGGGGAGGTGGAGCAGCAAACTTCTTGGTTTGTGCAGTGGTGTCATTGATCAAAACCCTGTCCAACTCCTCATAAAAAGGACAGGAGACTTTTCCATTGCTGGACCTTTTCTTAGTATCCTTGGTTTTAATGTACATTCTCCCGAGTTGTTTGCTCTTTATCCTGCACTATTAGCTGTTGCCCCTCATGGACATCTATTTAGCCATGTCTACAGAAAGATTTTTATTCTGGAGACTAGCCACAAGAGCTTCCTGCATTGATGTTTCTCCCCAGGGGGTGATGAGATAGGTCTCTGCATAGCTCCAAGAGGCTCCTCAAGGCCTACTATAAGGCTTCTGGAGAAATATCACAACATGGCTGATATACTGAAATCCAGGAGTAAATTGGCAAATTCTGGCCCCAAGCCAATTTTTATATGGGGATGTGGATGTCTGATCAACTCAACAACAGAACAGTGGAGGGCTCTCTGATGCAGGAACCTCTTGGTGTCAACTGGCAGAGGGCATGGGGGTGCATGGGGTTTTGCAGATCTCCCCGCTGTCAGATATATGCACAATACTACACCAAAGGGTAGCATGTGAAGTCGATACTAAGAGCCACCATAATCACTGGTCATCATCATTACAGCAAATTGTATGTATGGATAATATTTAAGAAATTATGTATCTATACTGAAAGTTACATTCTTAAGGTACTAGAGTTAAGGCCAGTCACCAAGATGTGACATGCTCAGATGTACTCCTTTGAGGCAAGAAGTAACAGTTGCTTATCTCGCGGTCTGGTCATATGTGTACTGTGTATTCTCTGCATCACAATGGAGGTCTATTTGCATACTGAGACAGGTGACAATTGAAAGGGTGTGAAATCTACAAGAGACAAAATCTACAGGAAGAACCAAAACAGCAGGGGGTGTCCTGGACATGAATGAAAACAAAGGATGGAACTTGTATATCTTAGGAGGCAAAGGAACACAATGGGCCAACTAGGAGACAAGCATGTCTGTCTCATGAAAGGAAGCTCACAGCCAAGCCTGGCTGTAAAACGCTGCAAGGACTTTGGGTGAGCATTATGCTTAAGACATCAGAGTATCTAGGTAATTAAATCTAGGTTCTAGAATGCATATTAAGATTTCATTTTATATGTAACCATTTGCTTCCAGAACTTCTACATGCTATTACTTGAATCTCTATGCTTTGTTAAATAAATTTATACTTAAGAAAATAAGAACGGCCATACTGTTTTCACTATAAACATATCTTAGTGCTGTTTGTTAAGCAGAGAAATGATATGAGGTGGAATTGGTAAGCTGGGGTTTACTGATTTTTAGGAAGCAGGCGATCTGTGAATACTGCAAGTGTCCAGTGGACCAGGCACTGGACACTCCAGGGAGACACTCGGAAGAGTTGAGGGTTGGAGTTTGCCTATTGTTAACCAGTAGAGAGACAGCAGGGTCTACAAGGCCTAGAGGGGAGTGCTTGTGTTGTCCCTGGTTGGTGGAGTTGGGGAGCTGTTTCCCTGCAGACACAGACAAGGTTTCCTGTTGCTAAGGGCAGGTGGTAGTGAGATTCCTCATAACCCTGGGATCCCCAGGAAGCATCACAGCCGCACAGGTAAACAGACAGGTCAGTAACAGTTGCTCACAAAGCAAAGTGGGATAGTAGCTGGAGGACTGCCAAAGTAGTGTGCAGCAGCATTGTGTGCAGATGAACAATAGACTGAACTAACTCAACTGCATCAAACTTAGTTCACTTTGAAAGAGGACTCCAGAGTCTGAGATAAACGCAGAGTTAATGTGCTATAATGAATTGCACTGTGGTTATGCAAGCATCCTGAAACTGGATTAACTCGATTTAGTCTGGTTTAAACCCCTGTGTAGACAAGCCCTTAGTATTTCTGGAATTTGCTAAATAGTTTACAGAATGCAACTAAGTAGGACCACTTATCCTGAGCAAATCTATGGCAGCAGAGGACCATAACAGAAAACTGAAGCAGGCTTGTGACTCCCCATGCCCAGAAAAATGTTAGTAATCCCCAGGAGAAGGTCTTAGCCAATAACTTGAGAACTGCTGAAACAGTAGTTTGGGGGGAGGGAGAGGAGGAAGGGTGTTGTGCCCATTCCAATGATGATCTTACTGGTATATGCTCGTGCATACAGCACATTGTCAAGCACTGCATCATGGTCTACATTGAAGCGATCAGCGATGTCACGAAGACGATCTGGACGGCTGGAATGTGTAAGATTTAAGGATTCTCTTTATATACATCATGCAAATTATGAAAATCCATAAAACTCAAATCAAAATCCAGAGCTCCCAGATAAGGTCTTGGCCTTTCTGTCAATATTACCAACAAGAGGAGCAATTAGTCCTTATGGTGATGTGTTTTGTTTTGTTTTTGTGATACAAACTAAGGGCATGGCTACACTTGCAGATGTAGAGCGCCAGGAGTTAAACCAGCCCTCGGAGACTGCAGCAGGGAAAACTCTGCAGTGTGTTCACAATGTCAGCTGCAAGCGCAGTGGTGTGGCCACATTAGCAGCTCTTGCAACGCCACAGAGAGCAGTGCATTGTGTTACCTATCCCAGTTTGCAAGGGGCTGCCGCATGCTTTTCAAATCTGATGGGGGGGGGGATTGGAGTGTGAATGTGTGTATGTGGGGGGAGACACTGTGTTTTGGGGGGCAAAGTGTGTCAGCATGCTATCTTGTAAGTTCAGACAGCGGCAGAGGGAAGGGGGAAACCCCGACATCAGCCCTCACCCCCGCCTCTCTCTCTCTCACACACATGCACAAACACCTGCCTCTGCAGCAGGAGCATTCCACAGTAATGGTTTGCTTTGTCCCAGAGCAGATAAGCATGCCGCCTGTCAGAAACGGATCTTTGCAAGGGGATATCTGCATGCCTGCAGCTGAGTTCAAAACAATGAGAAGAGTGGCCACTTGACTTCAAGGGATTATGGGACATTTCCGGAGGCCAATCACAGTGCAGTAATGCAACATGTCCTCCACACTGACATCCGGGTGTTTCAGCCGGGGCGCAGCAAGCTTTATGCTTCTTGTGGAGGTGGATTACCAGGAGCGCTCCAGCTGCAAAGTCCAGGCGCTCTACGTGCCTTGCCAGTGTGGACACCTCAGGAGTTAGGGTGCGCAGAGCTGATTTAATGCGCTCTAACTTGCAAGTGTAGCCAAGGCCTAACTAGACAGAAAGCAATCTCATTTTACATAGTCCATCAAAAAGCTGTGAGATAGTAACAAACAGTGGAATCACTTTTGAAGCAGTAAACTGGATATGAAAAGCTTCTATCCCCAAGATATTAAAAAGATGAGCACATTAGAACTACACAAATAGAAATATAAAACAAGATCTGTATCTTAACCCCCCCCCCATCCTCTATTTGGGTTGGATTATAACAAATGACCTAGAGATAAAAAGCACCATGTCCAAACTCCAATACCTAAATCATTTTGGCTTCTTGCTTTAGTAATTTATACTGTAATAAGAATAAATTGTTGTGGACAACACTGACTTTTTTTTTCTTCATGATGCCATGGGCCAGATTTGAGAGACAGCTCCTTATTTTTATCCATGAATGGAGCCATTTAGAGCATCTAAGCTGCTTTCTGCAACAAAATGCACTCCATCAGAAGATTATGAGGATGCTGTACTCATTACAAAAGGCATCCCTTTCTATCATACCTGAAACTTGCTTAAGTAAAAAAGATACAAAGTGTTTTCAGTATCAATGAAGATAATTTTTCCTCCTGTGTAGCGATCTGCTCCTGGAAGCTGAGCTGTCACTAATGCATCATAAAGAAAGGATCAAAATGAGCAGAGGGGAAAAAGCCTCTTCCACCCCTCCAACTCTCTCTGCTACTACTTTTAACAAATGACAGCTCCACCAGTTTGTACAGAACACACAAATGATCCAGTACTAATAACCAGAGTTGCCTTTATAGCAAGGCTGACTTGCTTCCACAGCTAGCTTAAGAAGGAACCAGAGTAACTTTTCTCTGTGGGATGTCAGGTTAAACTTAATCAAACTTTATGTTACTGAGTACTAACACTTACTTTACATCGAAATTTGCATATTTTTTATTAAAATAAATATTTAATTAAAACAACTAGTAATAATTAATGAAGAAAAACATCTTCTTGGCCTTCTCGCTAAGATCATTGGTAATGATCTAATAGGGCCTTTCCATCTCTTAACTACTACACTTTTACCACACTTTATTTGGATATGTATCTTTCTTGGTAGATGAATAGATGCCGACTGTTGTTTGAGTTTATCAGCAATGAACAAATTCAGATGATCAGTTTTATCCTCATCCTATATGCAAAGAATTATTACTCTGCTGCCAAATGTGGCCCTCAGGCTGTAATTTGGACATCCTTGGACTACATGAAAACACCTCCATTTTTCAAGAAAGAGCCTCAATATCTGTCATAAAGGGAGATCAGACCGAGAAATTGTTGGTTCTTCATAATTTTTAGAAACTAAATTCCAATATTATTAACAACTACATTATTTATTATTATGTATTTGTACTGTGGTAGCATCAAGAGACCTGTTATGTTTTGCACTGTGCAAACATATCACAAAGAGATGGTCCTTGACCAAGATTTTACAATGTAAATTTAAGATAGGAGACAATAGGTGGATATGAGAGACAGACTCGGGAGAGCACAAGTTAACAGCAAAACAGTTAAAACAATATAATAAGCAGCAGTCTCAGCAGTTGCAGCACATCAGCTGCCTAACCATTTTGTAGGCATCGTGGCAAAGGTGGGTTTTAAGGAGAGATTAAAAGGAGGATAATGTAGTGGTCTCACCAATTTTATTACTGAGAGCTCTTTCCAGACATGAGAGAATGCATGATGGTGCTTATCCAAAAGTTGGACAAATGGGCAATCACAGGTGGCACTGTTGGCAGAGTGAAGGTGAGAGTCTACATTTCTACAGAGTATAAAGATGAGAGGTAGGGCATGGATAAGCCATGAAGAGTCTTATGCTCTTGTTCTGATGCAGTGGAAAAGGGGGATCCAGTGCAGGGATGCAAAGAGGAGAGGAAAACTGGTCAAAGCAACACACTGTGAAGAATATTTTTGCCACAGCATTTTGAATGGATTCAAAGAGGATGTAAACACTATCAATAATGTTCTGAAATATAGAATAATGGCAAAGGAACAGATGTAAACAAAGAAACTTACAATTCATATACATCTGAATTAACAGAAATAAGACTCACTGAAGGCTTTACTTCACATCATTTCTAGAGGTAACAGAACATGGCATATTTCCACTTCTCTAAGACAAGATATTTCCTTCTCATGTATCTAAGAAAGGAGATCATCTTTAGGCATGTGTACCCAAGCTACATGCAGGCAGGTCTTAGCTCCTAAAAGCTGTTTGCTAGGTTGGTAGAGTGTTTCTTTTAGAGAGCAAAGACTGACAATGCGATAGAACTCCTTAATTAATGAGATTACAGAGGGATATAACTGATAATATTAAGACAGTGTACCTACCACAAAGGGTGTGGGCAAGCTGGGTTTTGCCTGTTCGGAATTCTATCAAAGAGAAAAAACAAGGGGAAAAGTTTTTGCAGTTTGTCAAATACATGAGTTGTTTCAATAAGAATACACTCTCATTTATAAAACCTCAATCACCTGTATTGCTTTCTGTCTTTCAGTCCCCACTCATAAAATGTATGAAAAACAGTGCAAATTGTACTTCTGAACAGCAGGGCTTAGAAGTGCTGCGCTGTGAGAGGTATCATGCTTGACAATTTTAAACTGAGCTAACTTCCACTTGTCCCTGGTAACTGCATCCAGGTGGAAGTTAAATGTATTGTTACCATTTTTTGACCTGAGTAGATAGCCAAAGTTCAGGACTGCGTGGGTTGTTTCCACTAGGAGGCAAAGCAGAGGCCAAGAGTCAGGTGTTTCTTTGATGAAATCCTGTGTATTTTCAAAGGTTGTACAAAGTCCTGTATCCTTGAACACAGTAGGAACCAAACAATAAGAGACAGTGTCTTCATTCACAGTTCCAAGTCCCTTTTCCAGTTTTTTCTCAGGCCCATATTTCCTGTACTTGTTCTGACTACGCGTATTTCTACATTGCAGTCAGAGATATGAAGCTTCACAGGCTAGCCCCTGAAGTACATAGTCAAGGTCCCAGACCGGCTTGTACAGAATGTGCTGTTGCACTTCATTGTTATTTTTATTCAAGCTAGCTAGCTAGATCAAAGCTAGCTCATGTATGTCTACATTTGCTGTAGTCACACTTCTGATCGCAGGGCTGACATAACTTGTGTCATTGGCTTTTCTCTCCTGCTCTGCATCTAGGGTGACCAGATGTCCCGATTTTATAGGGACAGTCCTGATATTTGGGGCTTTTTCTTATATAGGCTCCTATTACCCCCCACCCTCTGTCCCGATTTTTCACACTTGCTGTCTGGTCACCCTATCTGCATCTGTTTCCATGGATTCTTTCTCTCTGACACACACACCTCTACTAAAACAAAGCCAGCAAAGCCCCTCCACCCACATAGGTCAAATTCCTGAGTGGCCTCACACATGCCTTTGTTTTTGGCAGATAAGTACCTGTATTTGATTAGAGGAGGCCCCTATTGTTTCAGCTACCTGCTTCCATAAAGGAGCTTAATGTCTTCTTACAACTGTCTTAAATGAGCAATGGTTATACCCAACCCATAGTAATATCAACTCCAAGACACTGGGTATGTCTACACTACGGGATTAATCCGAATTTATATAATTCGAATGTTGGAAACAGATTGTATAAAGTCGAATGTATGCGGCCACACTAAGCACATTAATTCGGCGGTGTGCGTCCATGTACCGGGGCTAGCATCGATTTCTGGAGCGTTGCACTGTGGGTAGTTATCCCATAGCTATCCCATAGTTCCCACAGTCTCCCCCGCCCATTGGAATTCTGGATTGAGATCCAAGTGCTTGATGGGGCAAAAAACATTGTTGCAGGTGGTTCTGGGTACAGCCTCACCCCTCCCTCCATGAAAGCAACGGCAGACAACCATTTTGCGCCTTTTTTCCTGGGTGAACACTGCAGACTCCATACCACGGCAAGCATGGAGCCCGCTCAGCTCAAGACAGCAGTCATGAACATTGTAAACACCTTGTGCGTTCTCGTGCAGTTTATGCTGTGCCAGGACCAGAAAAATGAGGAGAGGAGAGGAGGAGGCGGCGACGGCAGCGCAGCGACAAGAGTGATGAGGACATGGACACAGAATTCTCTCAAACCGTGGGCCCCGGTGCTTTGGAGATCATGTTGTTAACGGGGCAGATTCTATCGGTGGCACGCTGATTCTGGGCCCAGGAAACAAGCACAGACTGATGGGACCGCATAGTGTTGCAGGTCTGGGACGATTCCCAGTGGCTGCGAAACTTTTGCATGCGTAAGAGCACTTTCATGAAACTTTGGGACTTGCAGTCCACTACCCTTTATCGGAATAATGCCTAGATGATATC